GCTCTTCAGTACCTCACCTCCGCTCTCGGCGTCTGGGTCCTCGGAAAATTAGGGTTTCTCCACCACGATGCCTTCAATGTCGACACAGCCAAGAAATTTCTCCCCGCGGCTACAGTTTTCTACCTCGCTATCTTCACCAACACCAACCTTCTCCGTCACGCCAATGTCGACACCTTCATCGTCTTCCGGTCCCTCACTCCGCTCCTCGTCGCCATCGCCGACACGTTCTTCCGCCGACAGCCTTTCCCTTCTCGTCTCACGTTCCTGTCTCTGTTGATCATCCTCGGTGGTGCTGTTGGATACGTTGCTACTGATTCTGCTTTCACTTTGACGGCTTATTCGTGGGCTTTAGCGTACTTGGTGACCATCACAACCGAGATGGTTTACATTAAGCACATGGTAACGAATCTAGGATTGAACACTTGGGGTTTTGTGTTTTACAACAATCTCTTGTCTCTGATGATGGCTCCTGTCTTCTGGGTTCTTACCGGAGAGTATGCTGACGTTTACATGGCGTTGAATGAGAATTGGGGAAACTGGTTCGAGCCCGTGGCTTTCTCTGCAGTGGCATTGTCGTGTGTGTTTGGTTTGCTCATTAGCTTCTTCGGGTTTGCCGCAAGGAAAGCTATCTCAGCCACTGCGTTTACTGTCACTGGTGTGGTCAACAAGTTCTTGACTGTTGTGATCAATGTCTTGATTTGGGACAAACACGCAAGCCCGTTTGGTCTGGTCTGTCTTCTGCTCACGATCTGTGGAGGGGTTCTTTATCAGCAGTCTGTGACTAGTAAACCGAGCAATGTGTCATCACAACGTGATCCCGCTGAATCCAAGCTTTTGGACAGTGAGAAGGGAGGTGATGAGTTCTCTGAGGAGAATCTGGGTAAAATTGTATCGAACAAGCTTGCTTCAGTATGAGAAACCTTCATTGTTGCAGCCACCCTTCCCAGGTTTTGTTTAGCATTTGAATTTGAATTGAATGGATTAAGTTTTCTTTACATTCTGAGGGTTTTCGCCATAAAGGAGATGTTTGAATTCTTTGCACTAATCGGATTCTGGCCCTCTAAATATCAGTTTTGTAAACTTCATTTGTTATCTGTTATCCTATGATCCATGAATACAAAATTGTTTTTCCTATTCTTCTCAGTTTCCATCGTCATTGCATTGTTCATTGTTCTTTGTTCTTTTTCTAGGACAAAGCAGAATCTGGTACTGGGTAATAAGTTGTGTCTCAATATGATGTTGTATACTGAAACAGCAGCTGTTAGCAATATGTTAGAATCAGTGGTTTCTCTCTGTATTCCTCGCCGATCTATCATTTGACAGGAAACTGGCAATGACTTAACATGGATAGAGGAATCAATCATGTATCCAGTCAGGCTCTATTTGCTGACTCGGTAAATCGAGGAAGTAAGCTTTTGATGTGAAGTGAACCGACGATTTTTTGAACGTGACTGTGGCAGAACAATCACGGGTATTTGTGACTAAATTCCGTCTGCTCTGTTTTTATTTCTTCGTTGTCATTGTTGAACTTAAAGTTATGCTGTCCACCAGATCCCAGATCCTTAATACGGACCCTATTTGCGATGAACCGAGAAAGTACATGATGCTCGGGAAACAGCCTCGTCCAACAATCCAGGTACGTTTGATAGAATCATTTGGCTACGAACATTTTGAAGACCTGAAAGCACTGTATAAACATTGTCTTGATGTTCCTCAGTTTGAAGATGGTAGTGTTCTTAGGTATGGTGATTTAAGTATTTCCTTTGAGTAGGGATCATGATAAGCTCCTTGATTTTAGGGATTGCAATTATATAGCTTTATCATTTATGGTTTTATAATATTTTCGGGACGATCCTCTTGGCTTTCTACCCTTTAGAAAGGTAGTCCGGTACACGAAGCATCCCGTTGAACGGGATCTGGAGAAAGATCCCACCGTAAAGAATCAATTAAAGGACTCCTTCCGTGGCATTTCTACTAGAAATTATGAGAAAAGCGATGATCGAACCGAAGAAAACCTACTTGAAGATGGTGCGAGACGGAGAGCGGGTGAGGGAGGAGGTCGAGAGAGTTAGGGTTAGGGTTAGGGTTAGGGTTAGACGAGAGTGTTAGGGTTTAGGGTTAGGGTTGATACTATTCCGGTGCCCGTGAGTTTTCGAATTTCGAAATCTATCTGGTATCCGACCTACGAATATCATAGTTTTATACATCGATTTTGAATTGGATAAAAAAAATTTGGATAATTCTGTGATTGCCTAATCCATAGAAATTTCTATATCCAAATAAATACATTAATATCACCGACTTGATAATTGATATGCCAAAATCAGATGGGTGAATATACATATATACAGTCAATAGAGAACAACTATCTTGATATTTTACCATCAACGGCGGCTTCGCCAAAATCAAATAGAGAAAATATATGTGTGTGTGTATATATATATATATATAGTCAATACAGAGCATCTCTTAATTTCCTTGCTAATAGCAAATTTGATGATTGATATGCCAATATCATATAGGTGAATAT